CTGATTTTTGAAATATTTTAAGAAATTTGTTATTTATGAAATGTGAACTTTAAAAATAGGAACTATGTATTGTTCCCAAATAATTTTGTCAAATCAAAGGCAAGTCATTTTTGTACGTTTCTGGCTGTGTAGTTGTGTCGTGTGTGAAATAACCCCTTCTCCAAAGGGGCGGACCCAGCTAAAGCCCGCCCCAATTTTTCATCAACCCAATATTTTAAAAAAACAAGTGGGCTATTATTTGGCCCAAACTGAATGATAGAAGCCCTACAAATTACAATCCATTACAATACCATAACAGTCCAAAAAAAGAAATCCATTGAACTCCCTCGACGGACCGCCGACCGCGAACGCCCCTGCATCCACGGCGCAGCCAGCGTTTTCTGTTGCTTTCATCATTTTTCGTCCACTGGTTCTGCACTGATTTCATCAGCTTTCATCAGTTTTCATCCACTGGTTCTGCACTGATTTCATCAGTTTTCATCAGCCACAGCCAGGCGCCCAGTAGGTGAGTTTTCTATAATTTCCGCCCCTGTATTCATCTGCTATTGCTTGGCTGTTGCGTGTAGACTGTAGAGTATATGCAAATTGCCAAATAGGAATAACCAGTAACCACGAGTGTTGTTGGGACTTGGGTATTCATCTGCGTCTGGCCGTCTGGTCTGCTATTGAATTTTCTGTCGCGGCGTCGCCTGCCGGAGTTTGGCTGTTGCCGTCTGCTATTGAATTTTGAAACCAACTAACCAAGCAAGCCTATAATTTATAAACCTTTTGTTTCCTTGATTGTGGCATGTGTGCTTAGCAATGGAATTATGGAAACTGGAAAGACATTAGACATGTTTTGTAATTGGTATATTCTCGTATAGAAGTCTGAAATTGAGGAAATTAATTGAAAAATTAAGCCTTATTTCTATGAGTAATGCTATTTACTAATTGGTACATTAGACATGTTTTTTTTTAAACTTTTACTACTACCGATTTCCTGGGTCCGCCTCCATCACCTTGGGGGTTAGGAGCTTGAGCACGCGACGGTGTTTACATATATATGTTTGGGGTTAGGAGCTTGAGCACGCGATAACGGTGTTTACATATATATGTTTGGGGTTAGGAGCTTGAGCACGCAATACTGGTGTTTACATATATACGTTTGTATAATTTACAAAACCTAGTCCATAGTCGATCAAAACATTTTTATTTTCTTGCGTAGGATCACTCGCTGTTCAGGGTATTTCCACTCGTTGATTGCTGGCAGTGGAAATAAAGACTTCAGTGGATTTTTGCATTTGTTTCAGGTGTCTTAGATGCCCAATTACAGATTATGGTTATATCAATCTTCGTGTTTAGTTTGGGTATGGAGTTTTGGTATGTTGTGATTTGACCATCTCAAGGAGTTAACAAGGGGCGTATCAATCCATGTTTAAATTCTAGCAGCACCTAAATGAACTTAAAAAGTTTTATGAAGGTTGTAAAATTTTGTATTAGTTGGATCAGCTGGGGAGATAATCTAATGGGAAAGATGCTTCTCTCTCTCTCTCTCTTTAAAAAAAATATATTTGCAATTCATAAGGTGAGATAGGGAGGGATTTCATGATAATTGTTTGTTTATCTGAATTGCAGAGCGAGCATCATTGGAAAGTCTTCCGATGCTCATTGCTATACAAATTTGAAGTTCAGTTTATTTTAATGATAGATTCAGGAATTCCTATTTTTGCTGCAGATGGCGAAGGAAGAAGTATTGTCGGTAAAGGATGCAGTTCACAAGCTGCAACTTTCTCTTCTTGAAGGCATCAAAGATGAGAACCAGCTATTCGCTGCTGGGTCATTGATGTCTCAGAGTGACTACCAAGATGTGGTAACAGAGCGCACAATAGCTAACATGTGTGGTTACCCACTCTGCATCAATTCTTTGCCTTCTGAGCGGCCTCGGAAGGGGCATTTCCGAATATCACTCAAGGAGCATAAAGTATATGACCTTCATGAAACATACATGTATTGCTCCTCTAGTTGTTTGATAAATAGTCGGGCATTTGCTGGGAGTTTGCAAGAAGAGAGATCCTCGACTCTGAACCTGGCAAAGCTTAATGAGGTTCTGAATATGTTTGAAGGGTTGAGTTTGAACTCTAAAGTGGACATGGGAAAGAATGGAGATTTAGGATTGTCTGAGTTGAAGATTCAGGAGAAAACCAACAATAAAGCTGGGGAAGTTTCTGTAGAGGAGTGGATTGGTCCCTCAAATGCTATTGAAGGCTATGTCCCACAGAAAGATCGCAATTTGAAGCCCCGACAATCAAATAATCTTAAAAAAGGTACAGGACTAGAACAACTTGGTAGATTTAGAATACTGGTTTGCCAGTGTTCTTGTTAATTTTTATATGTGCCAATATTATCATTGTTGTAACACGTGATTCAGATTTGCTAGTTCATCAAATCTATGCCCTTGACTCATGTAAATGCATGTTGCAGAATCTAAACCCAAGCACGCAGAACCAAATAAAGTAGACATTATATTCAATGATATGAACTTCTCTAGTACTATAATTACACAAGACGAGTACAGCATTTCGAAACTACCTGGTCCTAGAAAAATTGTTACCCATATGAAAGGTGAAGAACCAAAAGGAAAAGTGAGTCGTGAAGACTCAAGGGATCAGGACAGCACCGTGCAAAACCCAGACGCTCCAATTGGAAGCATGACAGAAACAAAATTGTATAAATCTGATAAGTACAAGTATGGAGATGACAAGCTTAATGTCTCAGAAGTGTCTACTGGTACTAGTCAAAATGATCCTAGCAGTATGGCAATGAAGGAAGAAACAGATTACAACCACGGGAAGTCATCTACAACTACTTTCACTAAGCTCAAATCTTCTTTAAAAACTTCAGATGCAAAAAAAGCAATCCGCTCTGTTACTTGGGCAGACGAGAATGCTCACAGTGATGGAAAAAACCTTTGTGAGTTTAGAGAACTAGATGATAAGAAAGAAGCTGTTGTGGCATCAAACTCCAGAGACACGGAAGTGGGTGAAGAGTCATTTTTATTTTCATCAGCAGAAGCCTGTGCAAGGGCTCTAATCCAAGCTGCAGAAGCTGTTGCATCTGAAAAATCTGATGTATCTGATGCAGGTACAGAATATTATTTGGTTTATATATCTTTGTATAAAGCTGCCTATTTTACTTGAGAGATTCTTGTCCATTATGGTTCTCAATTACTCGTTGCATTTGCCACCCAGTGTCTGAAGCGGGTGTTATTATATTACCACCACCTCATGAAGTGGATGAAGCTGAACGTCAAGAGATTGGTGATGTTATGGATACTGATCCATCTGTTTTAAAGTGGCCTTCAAAATCAGGCTTTCCAAATTATGATCTATTTGACTCTGAGGATTCTTGGTATGATAGTCCCCCGGAGGGTTTTGATTTGACTGTAAGTTGTTCATTTAACTGTAAGCTACATTTTTCATCTTTTATATTTTGTGCATGAGTTTCTCACTTGCAATTGACATTTGGCTGTTGATTTAGTTATCGCCTTTTTCAACAATGTTTATGGCCCTTTTTTCCTGGATATCATCATCATCTGTGGCCTATATATATGGACGTGATGAATGTTATCATGAAGAATATTTATCCATCAACGGGAGGGAGTATCCTTGCAAGATTGTTATGGAAGATGGTCGCTCCTCTGAAATCAAGCAAACTCTTGCTGGCTGCCTTGCTCGATCCTTGCCAGGACTTGTTGCTGAGCTCAGACTGCCAACACCAATATCAACTCTTGAACAAGGCATTGTACGTACTGAACATTTTTTAATGATACGGTTGTTTTATTCTCCTGTATTTTAATGAAAAGATATTGAAGAACCCAGAGTTCTCTTGTGGTTTCGAAGAGATTAACTCTAAAAAGAAGCAAAAAATGAGGAAATAGGGTTAGGGTTTGGACGGAAAGGGTACATAGATTGGAAAAGGAGGTAAAAACGAAGGATTCATTGGCACGGGCTTTCATTTGTTAGTGTCTAAGAGGCAGCAGCATTGTAAACTTGGCATTGTTGGTGATGAAATATGGACTAATGACTGCTCAAAAAATTCTAATTTTTCTCGTTTTAATTTCAAATTTAAATGTCAAAAAGAACTTCCCAAAAGATGAGTAGATAAATGAAAATAAAAATGCATATAGAATGAACAAATAATACTCAATCATCAATCAGCCCTAAGAAAAATAATCCCCTTTCTTTTTCGGTAATGTAACGAATAAAAGTCTAATGTAAGTACAATATGACAAGAAAAAAAGTAGTAGTAATTAAAAAGAAAATAAAGGAACAATAACGCCCTCTTGATAGAACAAGAAAGAGTTTATTGCTCCTTTATTTTCTTTTTCAATAACTCCTGTACACTAAGATCGGGTCTTATCCATTTGTAGACGAAGTTTCAATAGAAGCTAGGTCTAGAAGGAAGTTATGAGCATTACGTTCATGCATAACTTCCACACCAAGGTTAGCATGGTTAATGAGTTTATCGCGGTGTAAAGGAGATGCTGTATTTATCAAAAGGAGTTCTGCATGAAATCAACTAGCAGAATGGAACTATTTGTTTCTTGCTTGGTACACCTTCTTTGAGGAGCCCTTTCTTCTTCCTGATCTATTTATTTTGCAGGCACGCTTACTAGATACTATGTCTTTTACCGACCCACTTCCATCATTCAGGATGAAGCAGTGGCAAGTGATTGTCCTTTTGTTCCTTGATGCACTCTCTGTCAGCAGGATTCCTGCACTCACACAATATATGACAGGCAGGAGAGTTTTGCTTCCCAAGGTGAGGCTTTTGAATTTGTCGTCTTCTCATGTTTGAATGTATATACACTTTTTTGCAAAGGAGTCTCTATGAAACCATGAAAGCTGATTGGCTAAGATCCATTGCTAAAGTCAATTTCTTGAATGATCAACTTGTTTTAATCACGTCCAATCTATCCATTTCCTAAACAATTCCAGAAGAGTATAAAAAGACAAAATAACTATGTAGGATGTTTACTTCCGCTTTAATGCATGGACTAGTTATGGTGCAGTTTATCTTTTATTTTTAAATCTAAGATGATTTTGTCTTTGAAAATCATATATACCTACTAGCTTCTTGAAATGATTTTCTGAATTGTGGAACTGTAGATATGAATTTGTATGTGATGGAAACTATAGATCACAAGGGTTTTGGGTATAAATTATGATGTATTAGTACAAGTCAAACTAATAAATTGGATGACCGATAGAAAAATCTTCTTTGATTCCTTGTAGATTCTTAGTATCAAGGTTCCCTTGTAATTTTCTCAATGATGGACTTCTGGTACCATATTTTGCTGCTCTTGTATTAACAAAAACGAGAAACTAATACTTTGCTGCGATAGATCTTTCATCATATTGGGCATTTAATGATATAAATCCCTTTTCATGGTTTTTCCAATCGTGCATTAACTCGAAAGTCGTTTTGGTTAAGTAGGTTCTTGACGGTGCTACGATTAGTGCTGAAGAGTATGAGATAATGAAGGATCTGATCATTCCACTTGGCCGAGTACCTCAGTTCTCAACTCAAAGTGGAGGCTAAGCAAGAAATCATCATGTAAATAGAGTTCAGATTCGACTCTTCAACAATACCCATTGCTTATAATGCTCAACAAACAGTGATCTCTGGACTGCCAATTGAAGATGACACAATGAAGGAACTCGATGTCAAGCTAGTCGGGAAGTTGAAGCATGTCTCCCTAAATCTTCTAGCAGCATATTTTAACTTGTGTCATTTCTCACAATAAGTTGTTTTCTCCATGTAAGTAAAGTATCACATTTTCTACTGTATAATCCTAGGATTATTTTGGAAACATAAACTAATAGGCTTTAAAAATTAAATTTTTTGTTACTTGGACAGAAGTTAGAAAAGTAAGGTATGTAGAAATAAATCTCGTCCTAATTTTTTAATATTTATAAATTTTTCTTAAGTGCGTCACAATCTTCTCTAATACAGTTCTCTAATTATTTCTTTTAATCCCTCTTTGACAACCTTTTTTTTTTTTTCCGAGGAAAACGAGTTTTTGATTACTAATTGTTTTAGAGAATATGTGATTAAAAAGTAGGAAAAAGTTTTGGATTTACTTGAAGAATATTTTATTATGAAAATATGTTTTTGAAAATGAGTATAAGAAATTTTTTTTTTTGAAAGAACTGTGAATCGTGCTTTTCTTCATAATAAACTAAATAATTTAAAAATTAACCAAAAAAACCAATTTCCCATTTCAACCACTCATATCGAGAGATCGACAACTGTTTTTAACTTTTCAATAGTACATATCATCAACTTTTATAAAAATTTACTGAAAATTTGATTTTTATCAAAACCAAACATGAGCTTTTTATTTTCGCAAGCAATAACAATACATTTATGCATATTCATATCTTGAAGAACTCCATTACATCAGTTTTGGCCAAGAAATATATATTTCATTGTTTGGATACTGAGATGAGAGGAAACCTCAACTCCAGTCGATGGCCAGAAATAGGGATGGCAATTCGAACTATCAAAATCGAAAATCGCGGTTAACCGAACCGAATGGGGTGAAAAAAATCGAACCGATGGTGCAATGAGACGGTTATGGTTTTGATTTTAATGAACCGCTTCATTTAGGGGTGGGTATGGTATTTAGTGATGGTGCATCGCCCCGAACCGATTACCCGTTAAAAAAAATTTAATTGGACTTTCCATCATTCTTTTCCAAAATTAATTGGGCAATTTTGACAATTGGGCTTCCCAAAATTCTAGCTCAATTAACATTAAGTAAACCAATAATGAATAACCTAACACCATTTATAGTTTTTATCCCAATCCACTGCCGAGATAGTCTAATTTAAATATACAACCTACACGTTAAAAGTTAAAACCATGTCCTGTGACTCCTGTCGTAACCTTACAGTCTCCACTTCTCTTCCACTCCAATCCGTCGTCGCTCTGCCTCAGCTCGCCCTCACCATCACCGCTCGCCATTGAGAAGGTAACGATTAAGAATTGACAGGCTATCTTTCCTCAACTGCTTCTCGCTGCACTTATATAGCATGAGATGTTTCTTCTTTCTATAATGACAGCTTTGAGAAACGACAAGGAAAATCTCGCCCTCTTTCTCGAAGGAGGATCCTTATATCCTTCACAAGGAAAATCCTACCCTCTTTCCCGTAAGTGTCGATTTCTTCCTCCTTAGTTTCGTGGTGATTATGAGTGTTCTTGATGATTTTGATGTTTAGTTTTTGGAATTGTACATGTTTGAGATCTTGAGATTTGTTTAATTTAGCAGTATTTCTATTGATTCTGCAATGGGTAATGTAGAAGAATCTATGAAGTTTGGTTTTCAATTAACATTGGTAGTTTAATGATTAGTTTTGGTTTTTTCTCCAGTTACCCCAATTCCGATCAATTTTGAGTTTTCATGAAGCATCCGAGCTTTATTTTTCACAATTTATCATGTTTAAAATATTGGGATACGTTTGATTTAGCAATCTTTCAGTTGAAGCTGTAATGGGCATTACATAAAGATTGATAAAGATTTGTTTATGAATAACATTGATAGTCTTATGATCAGTTTTGATTTCTCTCCAATTTCTCCAATTTCAGATCAATTTAAGTTTTCAAGGTGATTCAGGTGTCTAGTTTTCTTTTTTTAATGAAACATGTTTGAGATCTTGGGATTTATTTGATTAAGCATGCTTTCTATTGAAGTTGAACATGTGATGTGCATTGAAGAATGACCTATTAAGATTTGTTTCTATTAAGATTTGTTTTTCAGCCAGATTGAATATATACATGTTGATTTTGTCTTTCTTTTATGTTTTTTAATGGCCAAGATTACATGAAATCACAAATTCTCCAACCTTCTCCTGCTTCCAGGAGATGATTGTGGATTCTGATCAGATAAAACTGCAGAACTCAAACTACTGGCTCTAAATATGTTCGATTGATGTGTTTCATTTTTCAGATGTCTTGACATATTTTTTTTATTTTTATTGACTTTTCTTCATATATTTTTTTTTTCAATTTGACGGTTGAAGTTTGGATTTATAAAAAATAATTTATTTTCGTGGTTATTAACCGAACCGAACCAAATCGAACCGAGATATTAACCGAGCCGAACCGAACCAACTTTCGTGGTTATGGTGCGATTATAGTATGGCCAAAAATTTCGTGGTGCGGTTATGGTTTTGGCCGAACCGACCCCGAACCGAACAGTTGTCATCCCTAGCCACAAACAATGTTTCAAGATACACGTACAGTCAACAATTTATTAAACCACTGCATAAATATTCAAATTTATCTTCACATACATGATAAAAGGACATAAAAGTTCTTGCAGAAGTAGATATTTGAGACAGTAGAGGATCTAGCACAAAGATGCAAGTAACTCCAACAAGGAAGCAACAAACTGCATCTGAGTCTCCTCGCCTATAGTCGAGAAGAGGGGAACGTGTACAAATAGTGATTTCATTCCATTCTGCTCTGCGAATCGCAAGGAATGGTAGTACACATAATTGCAGACAAACCGGCCAGCATCATCCGAGGTCATCACTTCATATCCCATCTTTGCCAATGCTTTGGTAATATCCTCAACAGGAAGGGAACTCTGCAGGAAGTAAATTCATAAACTGATAAGATGAATGTATTAACTTAAGGCGAAGTAACAAAGCAACATCAATCTTGATTCATGCACTCGAACTTCATACAACTAAATTTATGTCAGTTTGTAGAGATTAGATAAAGATAAAGACAGCCATTAAAAGCAAGATGAAAGCAGGGTTTCCGAGAATTAATTATACATCAAACTTCTGTTCAGTTCCAAAAGTATTCGGGTAAGACCAAAAGCAACAACTCGTCAAAAAAGGATCACGAAAGATTTTCATTATGTTCATTCCCCATCAATTTACTCCATCCACAGTAAAGTAACATCTGAAATTTCATTAATGATTTCTCCAATTATCGTGAACGGAAAATGCTCCAAATTTTCGTTGAAGGATTTTTATTTTTTTACAGCCTTCCGATGGAAATTGCAAACACTGCAGGAAAGAAATACACATACACTAAACATGAATTAATACGAAGATGCTACATATAGTCAAAGTTTATCTTCCCTAGCCTCCTGAAAAAGGAGAAGAGAATGTTCGGTAAGATCTAAGAACATGCTCAACTAGTTCTACCTTCTAGAAAAGGTGGGGAATTTGGAATTTTTAAATTCACTGCAGACTTTACAAATTCAGCTTCAAAGCTTTTGTACTTGACATTGCATATTTTCATGGATAGTCCATATTCCATCACTTGGCTTAAGTCATTATAGATTTCAAGAAAAGCATCACTAAAAAACACTGTACCTCTCGTATTCGTGAAATCCCACCATCCGAGGTAACAATGGGGATTTTCTGCAATTAAAAGAAGACAAATTAAAACAAACCTTATGATCAATAAGAATTGAAATGAGAAATGGAGATATTTGAAAGGGCGATATCCAACCTGAGGCTTCCATCCCATCTCATCAGGGCAACGGAATGTAGCTTCATTGACTGCTTGATGTTCTAAAGCAAACCTCGTTGCGCCACTATTAACTCCAAAATGTACCTGAAGATAAAGTACTTTGTTGAGAAAAAAACCTAGCATGTCATTGTGGGAAACACAGCATGTTGTCATCAAAACGGGATTCAAATTAGAGATGACTTTTGATTTGCAAATTCCAGAAAATAACTATAATCATGTCTTGCTAGCATCTGTAAACACAGCGTTGATTTTTTTATGAGAATTATCGTTAATGCTCAAACTCCTTTAATTAAATTTAATGACTATAGTAACAAAAATACAATTGTTTGCTGTAAATTACTGATTAGCAGCTAACATGGCAAACTAGATGCGCAAGCAAAATGGACCAATAATAGATCTCAGTGATGAGAAAGACAAAACAACTGTACAAATTACGGCATTTTAACACATACAACATTTGGATCATAGGAGATAACTTTCTTTTTCATCCACGACAAGACTATAAGGACTCAGCTTCTAACCCAGATTATGTTTTCCACGCACAATAGGAAGTGGTCACATATCATATTCTAAATAAGCCAAAAAATATGATGGATAAAGCACTCAAATAGGCAAAAGAACTTCCCAATGCCATATTCAAAAACAATTCACCAAACTTAAAAAATCATTTAGCCTAGAGTGAAAAGAAAAACCTTTCTTTGGATAATTAATAATAGATTTTCAACAAAATTCACCCCATTTTGTCAGCTACTACATATGAGGCTAAAAGAGGTGGGGTAAATGAGAAACTGACCCAAATTATTCTCCCAGAATTTGAAATGGTGCCATCCCTGGTCACAGCAGATTGCAATGTTTGGTATAAGGGAACCAGAGCGCCTTGTCCCGCAGTTTCAAGAATTGTGCAACTACCAAGGATCAGACCTTTCGGAAAACCCCTTTCCTTCATGAAATCTTGAAGATTATTTACAATTGTCTCAGTTGGATTTTCCGCAACTCCATGAAATTTCTTAAATCCTGTCACATGAATTGTCACTGCTGGAGCAGGC